TAGCATTAAAATGTTTTACAATGTTTGAACGACTATTGCTCTGTACGTGTTCATGTCTGTTTGTCTGTGATCATTACAGAATTCCATGGTTTTCACTGTTGTATCGTCTCACATAAAATCAGGAAATATAAATCTTATAGTTGTATTCATTTTGGAAGTTTGTAGAGTTCATTATTTATGTCAGATATTGCAGAACTTAAAAGGTACGTTTTTTATTTCTGCAAAATATTCTTTAGAAATTAAGACTTTTTAGGGTCATACACATTATTGGTCTAATATAATGTCACCTACTAACCTCTGACTATCAAAATTTATATGTTAATATCTAAAAATGTTGCATTTGCACTTGTTTTCCTTTGTGTTTTATATCTGCATTGGAATTTGTTTGGGGAAACAAATTTATATATCCACAATATTTTACTTTTAATACTTTTATTAGTGATTTAAAAATACCTTGCAGTGTCGTTTGACCACATTCCACTCTCCACTCTTCCCATGTTCTACTTCCTCCAGACATTGTTGGTTTTTTCTGCTTATTTTTTTTCATTCACAGAGTTCAATCAGAAACTTTCATAAAATTCTGAGTGTTGAGCCTACATGGCCTACAATATGGTTGAACAATCAGGAGTTTCACATTCTTTGTTTGTTTTTTTTTAAATGTATTTATTTATTTATTTATTTATTTATTTATTTATTATGTATACAGTATTCTCAGTATTCTGTCTGCCTGAAGGCCAGAAGAGGGCGCCAAATATCTTTAAAGATGGCTGTGAGCCACCATGTGTTTGCTGGGAATTGAACTCAGGACCTCTGAAGAGCAGTCAGTGCTCTTAACCTCTGAGCCATCTCTCCAGCCCCCAGTTTCACATTCTTAAAATCAACATTATGCCCTTTTTTAAGTATCTTTAAGATAATAGTAGCTTCTCAGCAAGGCATGGATCTCCAGGCTCCTTCTTATTGTCTCCCAAGGATTTTAATCTGGCTTGAGATTGCTCAGGTCTGATGCATTCTATCCTAATTACTTCAGTTTATATGGGCAACTGCCATGTTCTGTAGAGAAAGCACTATTTTCTTATAGTCATTCATGACTTCCTACCTTGTTATGTATTATCACTCTATCCTGAATGAGCTCTCAACAGTCAATGGAGTAAGTTTGCTATGAACATACTCATTAAAATTAAATATTTTCTTGTTGTTTGGACCATGTCCACCTGTGAGTCACCTTTAGGTGCAAAATTCTGCCAGAAATTTGGAAATGAAGGCTTAGAGATGCTACAGTCTGTGGGTAAATCAATAGGACATTAAAAATAATTTTAATACCAAGCAGAATGATGATAATAGGTGGTACCTTCTATCTTTTAATAATGCTTCTTGAATTAACATGAATACTCCTCAAGTTATTCTACAAAATAAAAACTGCAGAACACTGTGAAATTCTTTTCATGAGGACAGTTACCTTGATACCTAAACCACGTATACACCCAAAATGTAAGTTAAATATATGCCAATTTCATTATGAACATATATACAAAACTCCTCAATAAAATATTTGCATCCTATATCCAAGCACATATCAAAAAGATAATCTACCATAGGCTTTATGTCAAGACATGTAGGGATAAATGAAAAATTCAAAATCAATAAACATAATCTACCACTTGTACAAACTTAAAGTCTAATTCCAGAAGTTCATCTAATTAGATACAGAAAAGCCTTTGACAATATTAACAGCCCTTCTTGATAGAAGTCTTGGAGATATTAGGGGTAAAAGAAATATACCTCTACTTAAAAGATGCAAATTGCAGAAAGTTTATAGCTTACATCAAACTAAATGGAGAGAATTCAAAGCCTCTTCATTAAAAAATGGAACAATGTAAGTGGACTTAATCTCTCTATATGTATTCAATACAGTACTTGAAATCTTAGCTTGAACAAGAACACAAATGAAGAAGATCTAGAAGTGATTAATAGCAAAGGAACAAATCAAAAGAATGTTATATGAAGATGCTATGATTTTATGTATAAAAGACTCTAAGAACTTTATAAAGAAACTTGTCCAACTGAGAAACACTTTCACCAAGGATAGGAATGCAAAATTGAATAACAAAAAGCAGTAGCCTTCCTATATACAAATGAGAATAGACTTAAATAGAATTCAGGGAAATGAGGCCTTTCACAATAACCTCAAAAATAGTTTTGGGTAATTTGAATTAAAACAGTTAAAGACCTTTATAAAAACTTTAAGACGTTGAAGATATGAATTGAAAAAGATATTGGAAGATAGAAAAATACATATGCATGTTCAAGGATTGGTCAATAGATATAGTAATATACTGATTCAGTGAAAAACCCTATCAAAATTCTAACACAACTCTTCTCAGATCCCAAAAACACAGTTTTCAGCCTCATATATATACAAACAAACAGAAACCTCAAAATAGCTTAAACAACAATGAAAAATAAAACTATAAACAATATACCATTCAGAGTTTTAAATTATACTACATTTTTTATAATAATTAGGTTTAGTATAATAATGGTATGGTAAAAACAGATATATTGATCAAAAAATAAAATTGTAGATACTAACTAATGTCCACTCATCTATTACATTCATTTTGTAAAAGAATCTAGAAAAATGCACTTGAAAATTAAGAGCATTTAATACTAATCTTACCTAAGCTGTTTCCAACAGACCATGAGTCCACAAAGAAAAAATAAATTTTCTCCAAGTGATTCTCAGTGGGGATAAAAGTAACACTTACAGGAATTCCCTATAACCAGCACTTGAAGTATATCACCAACACAACTCAATGGAATTTTTGTACATTCTTTTCCCCCCATAATGTATAATTTGGGAATTTATTTATTTTTATTTTTGACCATATAGAATCTTTATGTACATTACACATTCTAGAGTTTTCTTTTGCTTTGTTTTATGCAATGTTCTGGGTAGAACTGTGTGTCTTTCTCTCTATAAATACTGTGCTTTTCTTTATTACCCATTCTTCTCTGATCCTGTCTGACTTCTTTGATTCTTATTATATTATTTTATTGTTATTCTTTAGATGCCTATTTATTTTCTAAGAAGTGACTGAAATTGGGTAAATTCAGACATGAGTAAAGATGGGGATGAACTCAGGGCATTTGAGGGATGAAAAGCCATAGTCAGAATATATGTTATGAAAGCATCTATTTTTTGTATAAAAAAAAGAGAAAATATATCTAAGATAAAAAGGAACAGTCTTAATGAATTTCCTCGATGTCTGAAATTTTATAGATCTCTTCCTTGGGGTATACATGATTCTCTGTAGACCAGCAAGTAGTAACTGTTTACAGTTCATCGTTTGTTCTTTCCTTATTAATTAATATTCTGTCTAATTTCTTAATATTACTCATTTTTTTTCAATTCAAGGGATTGTACAGATGTGTTAAATCCATTAAGATAATGCAATTTTATGTATGTAATTTTTTGCACTTGGGTTATAGGCTTTGTATTAGTTACTTATTATCTATTGCTGTGATAAAATTCCAAGATAAAGGCAATATATAGAAGAAAAATCCATGATGATGTATCAGAGGTAGCAGTTGGCCAGGGGGTAGAGCAGCAGTAAGAGGTCCCATCTAGAATCACAACAGGAAGTAGATAGCTCACTGTTGTTATTAGAAGGCTTTAAAACTTAAAACCAGTGTTCAAGGCATAGGTGATCCAGTAAGTTGATACCTCTTTATCCTACCCATAAATATCCACCAACATTAGACTATGTATTCAGATATCTGATTATATGGGATCATTTCACTCAAACCACCATAATCTCATTTATTATTCTAAAATTGTGATTGGAATCTCTAAGATAGCATAAACTCAATCCTTTCATTTTTATAATGTATTTAATATATGTTATAAAAGATATTCTATCCATTTACATTTAGAAGATTGTTTCATTAGAATATATGATTTGAAGTTTATTTTATATAATATGCCATCTAGCATATATGTCTACATATATATAAAATTGTGTCACTTATATATCTGAAAAGGTTTCACCTAACTATACTAATTCAGATAATTATATATTTGTCTTTCTTCCAGTTTTATATTCTTATCAAACACAAGACTTATTTTCACAAGAGAATAGACAAGATTGTATCCAGAAGTTGGTATCAAGAATAGCTGTAAGTAGTGACTTTAAAACCATTCATTTAGGAGTGATTTCAATATTTGGTGAAGAAAGAAAAGAGAATGGATTATGTCATGATTGAAATAATCTCTATTCATCAGCCATCCTGGGTTGTACTAGAAATCAAGGTCAATAATTTCTACCTTATTTGAAAAGATTTCACATTAGATCGCTTACAATTTCAGAAGCAGTTTCCTCAGTAAAAAAATACAAATAAATTTTAAAGCATTTTTTTTCTACAAAGAATATTTAAAAACCTTAAAACTGAATGGCATGTATTCTATTAAACATTCTTTAGAGTTTTCTCAACAAAAATTACATTTTGTTACAAGCTATTTGTGAGATAAACGTGAGAAGTTTTTCTCAATCAAATGAGACTGAAAATATATCATAGAATTTTTAGTCATGAGGAACGTTTCACATTCTATGATGTTATTAACCCTTTCCTAGGAACTCTTAGAAGAATAGTTTCCAGAATCCTCTTCTTAAAGGGACAAATTCCCAAAAATCAAATCACAGTATGTCTATTCTCATTATATAAGTTCTTAGAGGAAGTCTGTTTTTTCTAAGAGTCAATACATACATGATAATTGTAAGGATGATTTTTATTGTAACACAAATTCTTTTTGTTTCAGCATGACCAGAAACAAGGGAGGCATTATATAAACAATCATAATGAAGAGAGACAAAACAATTATATAGAATGTGGAAACTACTTCAATAGATATGCATGCCCCACTATACATAAGAAAATTAATTCCAACGAGAAGGCAGGCAAATGTAAAGATTGTGGCAAGTCATTTATCCGTCACACAAAACTTCAATCTCACCAGAGAAGTCATATTAGTGAAGAACCTTACAGATGTCAAGAATGTGGCAAGACCTTTACCTGGGCCTCAGCTCTTCACAGACATCACAGAATCCATACTGGTGAGAAACCTTATAGATGTCAAGAATGTGGCAAGTCCTTTACCCTGCTCTCAAATCTTAATATGCATCACAGAATCCATACTGGTGAGAAACCTTACAGATGTCAAGAATGTGGCAAGTCCTTTACCTGGGCCTCAGCTCTTCACAGACATCACAGAATCCATAATGGTGACAAACCTTATAGATGTCAAGAATGTGGCAAGTTCTTTACCCAGCTCTCAAATCTTCATATTCATCACAGAATCCATACTGGTGAGAAACCTTACAGATGTCAAGAATGTGGCAAGGCCTTTACCCATGCTTCAACTCTTCTATCTCATCAAAGAATCCATACTGGTGAGAAACTTTACAGATGTCAAGACTGTGGCAAGTCCTTTACCCAGCTCTCAAATCTTCATATTCATCACAGAATCCATACTGGTGAGAAACCTTACAGATGTCAAGAATGTGGCAAGTCCTTTACCCAGGTCTCAAATCTTCACACTCATCACAGACTCCATACTGGTGAGAAACCTTACAGATGTCAAGAATGTGGAAAGTCCTTTACCCAAAGAGCAACTCTTCACACTCATCACAGACTCCATACTGGTGACAAGCCTTAAAATGTAAAGAATGTAACAAGTCCTTTCGCATGAATTCAAGTCTTAGAAAGCATCACAAAATGCATTTAATGGGTACATTTCAGGAAATTTCTTAGTAAACCTCACATTAATTCATTGTACAGATCTTCATGCATTAGCCAGCTTATTTCACAGACTCACATCCTTCAATTCATTTTCAAATCTTAGCCAATACTTAGACAGCCGAGCAATTCTTAGGAATTTAGAAACATTGTATCCAAATTTGAACTTTATTGTCATCAAACATTTGTTGTAAACGGAATTTATATATCATTGTAAACATGCTATTCAAGAATTAATTACTATGAATAGGTAAATATTTCTAGTAGGAGTAAATTGAGCAATAACATTTCTTCACTGTAAGTTAAGATAATGTGTGACAAAAACAGCCAATCTCAAACTAGTTCAGATTTTGATGCACATTTAATTTCTTGGAATATGGTTGCTTATGTAATGAGATTATACTCTTTATGAACATTATTTTTCTGTGATTTTTTGTGATTCTTAAATAAATATTAGCTTGTTTTAAAATTCAAGACTTTTAATTTCTGACTTTGCAACAAAACTGTTACATTTTGTCCCATTTTTATTGCATTTTTTTCTGATAGTCTATTCTCTTATAGTAGAGTATGTTAAGTGTGAACATTTCTATGGATGAGCTGGTAGGACAGAGAATGACACACTACATAGATTACTTTAAACTTTGTATAATTGTGCTTCAAATCAGTGTGAGGTAGATGGAAGATATCAATGGGCATGCAAAACTGGACAAGGAAAAATTGCAAGGCAAATACATCAAACAAAGAACTCTAGTCATTTAGGAAAGCAGGGAGTGGGAGGGGTGACCTTTTCTTGAGAGAAACACATAAACTGTCCAGGAACCAATGGACATGCCTGAAACCATATAGAATTGTAACATCGTATGGATTGGTCTCCTTGTATTTAGGAACATATTTATATACAAATTTATGTATAAAAATAGCAGTGCATGAATAAAGGACATAAACTTGAAAGAGAACAGAGATTGTAGTTTATAGTAGAGTGGAGGTAGGATATCATAAGTACAAAATTAATCTTATTATTTGGTACATTTTAATTATATAAAATAAGTAATGTGTTTGTATACACCCCCTTGTTTCTTTTGTTATGCTCCCTCCATCTAAAATATTTGCCCTCACAGTTCTATAAATTTTTTCATCCTCCTTTCATATTTTTTCTAGATTCCATTTATGAGAGAAGATATGTGCTATTTGCATTTTGGAGAGTTGTCTATTTCTTTGACTTAATGATACATAGTTGCAACAAATTACTTGAGACTTATGTAATTTTTTCTACAATTTTATCATTGATTATCTTGAATTATTTATGCATATAATATTTTCTTTATTCATACATTTAGATATATTGGTGGTTATCTAAGCTCATTCCCTGAATCATCTATTAAATGAAGTGCAATGATAACAATTACACACAATTCATACACACATATATCTGATTCAGCATAGTGAACTCACTATGATAAGTATGCATATTTATGAGTGATTCAGCTAGTATGCATATTTATGAGTGATTCAGCTGGTATGTCTATGATAATTTTTCAGTCATATCTATCATTATAGCATCTACAGTACCTGGGATGTCTTACTTTACAATGACCATAGCGTATGTTTTCCCACTTCCTTTGCCACATTTAGAAAAATTTAGAGTTGGAAAAAAATGTAATCACTAAAAGGCACTCAAAGCTGGAATTATGGAACACACCAAATATTATTTCACTTTGTAAGCAATGAGTCTGGGACACAAGAAAATGACCACAAAATCTACAGTACTTGAGCCAGCTTATAAATTCTGTTGAAAATGTATTGTAATGCAATTGGTTGCCATGACTTACCTTGAGTGTTCAGAGCTTGACCTTGTATTACTCCATGCCTGGGTACCTCAACATGGTCCACTTGGTAAGCAAGATATACTTGTGAGTAAGTAGGGTAACTTTTCACACATATTTGTATTTCATATGTATGTTGGCATTTGAGATACTTTCTCATATATGCTGATCATGAAAAATTGTTCAGTGTGCAGTCAATAAAACTCTGCTGTTTATCACCCACCATACACAAACTGTCATGGATGTCAAAATGAGACCTGATACACTACAAATTCCAAAGGACACAGTAGAGAAAATCCTCCAACTTTTAAGCAGGTAAGGGGTTTCTGAATAGGACACTTGTCCAATAGTACATGAGACCAAAAATCAACAAATAGGAGCTTATGAAATTAAAACTTTTTATTTCAACATAAGAAAATATCATTTACGTGGGGCATACAGAATATGAGAAAGTCACTGGTGCAACGGTGACGTGAGAGTTATTGTGTATTTCACTTCCTGCTGATCTGGTGAGGCCTGAACTCTAGGTAGGAATTAGTACCTGGTCCTGTGTCCATAGTCAAAAGACCATGGCTGGATGATTCATATATTCCTTTAAGATGATGCTACTATTGCTACTTTGTGTGACAAAAGTAATGATTTGTTAATATTTCCATTTCTATGGATAGAGGTTTTCAGCTGTCAGGCTTGGTCAGAGGTCCTTCTTTATGGAGTGCACAGCAGCAAATGCGCAGCCTCATAATTTCAAAATGTTGGAATGCCCCTGAATGCTCATTCCTAAACAGGACCTGTAGACCAACCATTCCCCCTAGACACAGGGGATGTCATGGAAATGGGTCCTGAATGTCGTGCCTGAGGGTGAGGAGGACTGCTGTGACATGCTGTCTTTGAACATGACCTAACCACTGCTCACTCACAAGAATTGTGATCACCTGCAGCTTCAGGTGACCATGTTCAGAACTGACTGTGAGTATCTGTCTTCAACTGGACAGCTGGAGGAGACAGCCTGCTGGTGAAAGAAAAAGCCTCCTAAGCCTTTGTCTCAGTACAGAAAATAAAAGAAAGCTCAAAGATGGCCATTGTATTATTTATCAGTCTCCCATTTCCCCCCTTTCTTTATCTTTCTCCCGGGGAAGACTGTGTCATTCATATTCCTTCAAATTAATGAGTTTATTGAGATTAATACAGGAATATAGGTACAGAATTGCTTACAGCAATATGAATAACTCAAAGCTGTAGTACCACAAAGGCTCCCATCAGAATGGGAGACTCAGCCAAACTAGAACCATGAACATGTCTGCATGACTTGTTTGCAACTGACTGAGACAGAGGTTCTCATTTCTTTAGTTCTCCTTACTTACCACAAATGTAAGTTTGATAGCAGAAGATCCTTATTAATCTTTCTGCTCCAGCCTTCCCAGTTTATATGCTGAGTCTTATGGACGTCCTTCCTCGTTCCATAGAATTTTGTGAGACTTAAGGAAATACTCCTACTTAGGGAAGAACACATCTGTTGTAAATTCCATATCAAGCAGTGAGTCTGGAAAGCATCCATTATAGCTATAAAGAATGATTGGTTTACATTTAGGACTGTACAGCTGCATGTATATATTTATATGCTTGTAACCGCAATGAATGAAAAGAGAGGTCATAAATAAGAAACAGAGCAGGGGAGAGTGTTGTGAGGGTTTGCAAGGATGAAAGGGAAGAGGAAAATGCAATTATAATGTCAAAAATAACAGAAACTGTTTATGTCAAAAAGGGAAAATTGTTACACAATACTTCATCCTTTCCTTAAAATGTTAGTAACACAAGATCACCGTCTACCATGGAGTTCTGCAAAGACACTAAAGCTTCACACCAGTCCTGAAGTCCCTGGTGAAGCACACTTTATTGTTCACCTCCTCTGTAAGCACAGCTCCATCATGCTCAGTGACTCAGCCATAAACACTGCTTCTCTCATCCATAGTTTTTCAGGAAAACCTATCATTCCTCAGCTTCCAGTCCATGATATTTGTGAGAACTCTGCATGAGATAGCCAAACATTCCGGGGCTTCCTTTGAGCCAGTCCATCAGAAATGATTCATGAATGTTGCATTAGATTATGTACCTTTTTGTAAATGAGGTTTAAGTAGGTGTGTGACCTTCATTCCCACTTCCATAACAGGTTAATACCATCTGTTCACATAGCCTCCAAGCTCATGTGTCAAGTTTTACCAGAATGTTTCATTGATTTTTTTTGAAAGTCTTTTGTACTTCAGCAGTGGAGAGACAGAATACTTCCCAACTAAGATAGTCTCTTTGCAGGCCATTATAAGGTTCAAAAGCAAGAGCTAGCATGGATTTTTCTTTTCTCTGTATAAAAGGTTGCACCTGTCAACTTCTATCACCTTTATTCCAAACAGAGAATTTTATTCTCATTATATGCTAGTGTACTGAATTTTCTCCTAAGAATTTTAATGGATTCTGCAGTTTCACATATGATCTTGATTCTTTATCTTCCATAAACCTGCTGATTTATAAGTCTGTTTTCTGGCTTTGTTCACATCTTTCCATTTCCATTTAGAAAACTCTACAGATTTTACCTCTTCACAAAATTTACTTAGTGAGAAAAAGTTTTTGTGAACTTGGAAAGATAGAAGCAACAAAAACTGATATACCAATTCATTGAATTCATTATTTTTATTACATTTTTCATATAAAGAAACAGACTAAGATAATGTGTTTGTAAAGTTGTTAGATGTTTCTCTTTTTTTTTTAAAGAATGACTTACATTTTTTTTTATCCAAGACCCTTTCCACAATGCTTTTTGGTGTCACAGAGTCAGAGATTTAAATAATGTTACATTTAAGCAAGTATTGGAGAAGATATGGCTTACCAACATTTGGGGTGGGAAAATATGGAGAATGAAACCCAGACGGACGGATGGATGGATGGATGGACAGACGGACGGACAGACAGATCGATGGATGGATGGATGGATGGATGGATGGATGGATGGATGGATGGATGAAGATAGTTAGGAGATAGATGGATAGATAGATAGATAGATAGATAGATAGATAGATAGATAGATAGATGGATAGTTGGATGGATGGAT